TCTCTCATAGTTGAGGTATACCTATGATGAAAATTACAGGCCTCTCTCATCTTTTTAAGTGGGAGAACTTGCACAATTGGTGGCTGACTAAATACTTTTTTGCCCCACTGTAATATCCAGAAAGCATTTGCTTCCACAGGATTATGTATCAGTGGAGGATTCTTATTGTTGACTAAATGACAGTTGTTTCAAATTGTAAATACCCTGCAATAAATTGATTACTAGACAGAAAGATTTTAAGACAGAGAAACCAAAGTAAGCATTATGTTCATTTGCCATAACTGGGTACTCACTTACTTTTTTTTAAAGAGAATTTTACATTTTATGTAGACATCTGAAGATTTATGGAAAAAGGATACAATAATATTCCAAGGACCAAGCCTCAACCAGTTTGGCCAGAATCCTTTGTACAATGCAAAAAATCCTTCATACCTCCAGGTCTGTGAAAAATAAGTGAGAATCTCTGAATATTGTATAATCAACGCTCAATATAGGAGACACAATCTCTTTCCCTATCTGCAAACTGAAGGACCTCCCATCCCATCTCATATCACAGATCAAGGATGAATGAAGATTGGATGGTGGATCTTGCCACTAATGGTGAGAGCCTCTTTTCCAAGCTGCCTGGCCAAGGTGCCTACAAACGGGCCTTCTAAGATGCTGTTAAGGATCTCCTGCTGAACGTTTCTCCAAGAATTAGTTCCTAGGGAAGAACTACTTGAGGTGGCTTGAAGTTGACTGAACCTGGGAGACAGATGACCATATTGGGAAAGAGAGGGGCTGGTGATTTATCCCCCCACCCATCCATCATTAGACCCAAGGGAGAAGGGCTTTGGATGGTTTAGCTCTTGGGCCTGATTATGACTCCCACCTGCAGGTACTTTCAGCCTCCTTGTGTGCAAGAGAGGAATCTCTTCCCTACACTGCTTAAACCTTAGGAGTTCAAGCAAAGGTCTGAAGAGGTTCCTTCCCGATGGAAAACTGCACTTTGATTTAAAATAAAAGCAGGAAGCTTCCTCTTTCCCCAGGTGCACCAAGAATGAAAGCAAAGAGAGTCTAAAGGTCAGTTCATAATAATTAACAAATAGATGTTATCCAGATGTTTTGGGCCACACCTCCCCATCATCCTTTGCCTGTGAAGCTTGGGACTGATGAGGTTGAACCAAATAACAATTACAATCACGGTCTGAAACAGTTTCCATATTCTCCAATACAGAATACTCCAAATCTTGTTCAGGAATGTGTCTTTTCTCGAACTTTGTTCTTGCTACTAAATGAAGTCTACTGACCTGAAGCAAGCAGTCTAAAGTACCCTTGTAGCCATGCTGGGGTCCAGTTGGCAATGTTTTCTGATTCATCATCCGCGTTCTCACAACATCGATGGGGTTGGATGCCAGAGCTCCAGCCAAGCCGCAGGTAAAACTTGCTCTAACAGAAATTCAGAGGAGTATTATCGCAATGACCCTTCCCTTCCCTTCCCCAGTGAATAAGAAATCAGAACAGCACATGTGACTGTTCTGTTTTCCCAAAGTATGCCACGGAAGAGGTCTGGACTTTTCCCTTCTGGTTAAAATCATACAGATTGATTCAACGTGGAATGTTAGAAACCCTTCGGGCAATTCTGTCTATTCGATCTCTTAAAAGGTGCTTTCAGGACTTACAGAAAGTGAGTATATATTGTGTCTCCCATGAACCCACTGAGAATTATACGCTTTTTGGCAAGATCATAGACTGGCAGCTCTACACCAACGACCACAGCAGCTCTTTGGGCGGTAAGAGAGACTCCCTGTGAAAAAAGGGGGAAACCATATTGTAAAATAAAGCAAATTGTTCTTTAAAAAATGGTTTACAGTTTTATTTTTGATATTAACTTCTTTATTGAACTATTCTACTCTGGGATAATCCTTAATTCTGAAAATACTGTATGGGATAGAAGTTTTATAAATCAATCTTTTTTTTTTTTTTTGCTTTTTTTAAAAAAAGCTTTTTGAAAATCTGGAAAGTTTTCTCTGTCTTTAGGATCCCTGTATGATCAAGGATTGAATTCAACACAGTAAAAATGGTCCTGTCCTGACCAGGAAGCAACCACAATGAACAGTTAGTTCTTCCCAACCTGGCAGCTAAAGGAATGTTTTGTTTAGGATAGGGGTTTTCAAAGGTTTTCAGGCCATTGAACCTATTAGTTATTTTAAAAAAAATATTCCCAGAGGCTTCCCCCCTTGTCCCTTTAGTTTCTCATGCAACCCCATCACATTCTCACAGAAGTCGGGGGTTCTGCAGAACATAGCTTGAAAAACACTAATTAATGCATTTGGTTCTTTTTTTTAGCTCCAATTTTTAGAGGTGGGCCGTTTGGAAACAAATCAGCAAACTCCCCCTCCTCCACCTTTTCCCATGTTGGAGGCACTCTTTAGCCAAACTTTTTTTTGATAAAAATAAAATATAACATAACAACAACTGGTATTATAACTGATATTACAGCATCTAGTTGAAAACAAGCTCTTTCCACCTGAGCAGGAAGGAAACCACCCAAACAGCAGAGAGACAAAAGATCACTCCTAATTGACAGGATGATTTTGGAAAACTGCAAGAGAAGGAAGACCAACTTGAATGTAGTTTGGATTGATTACAAGAAGGCATTCAACTCCCTGCCACATGGCTGGATAATCAAGTGCCTAGAAACAACAGGAGTCAGTAGAAACATCAGAAGCTTTGTGCAAAGATAAATGGAGAATGGAAGACACAGTTGCTGGTCAATGGTGATAGACTGGGAGAGGTTAGCATCAAGAGAAGAATCTTTCAAGGAGACTCACTATCACCG